AACGATTCCCAAGTCCCAGAAGGAAGGTTTGGGTTGCCAGAGACGACAAAAGCGCAATCATCGCCGCTTTTAATTAAAAGCTTTAATTAAACACAAAATACCCTGGGTGCTTTATTAGGCCGGGTAATTGATTTAATGCTCTGCTCGAATTCTATTAAGTGAGGATCCTGGCTCTGGAATGAACTGATGGGACGGGCCAGCCAAGCCTGGGGGGGGGGGGCGGGGAGAGGTGAGAAGGGGACATTGTGTACACGGCCAGCATCTTTGCACACCCAGCCAAACGCACGGCTCAGAAGAGTTGCAAATATTCTTCTTTATTGGTATTTTATTTACCGTATTTTTTGGAGTATAAAACGCACCTGAGTATAAGACGCGCCTTAGTTTTTGGGGAGGAAAATAAGAAAAAAGGCTGATTGGCAAGTGGATCAGCCTCCCGTTGTGAGCTCTGTGCCTTGCTTTTTTTTGCTTTTTTTTTCTGCCTCTGAAACTTCTGAAACTCCGTTTCAGGAAAAACTTTTTTTCCTGCCTCTGAAAGCCTCCGAAACAGAGCTTCAGAAAAAAAAGCCTCTGAAGCTCTGTTTGGGGGCTTCTTTTCTGAAGCTTCGATTCAGTTTTATGTGGCTACATGCTCTTATCTGCCATTTTTCCCCTTCGCACAAAAGCATCTTTTCAAAAGTTTTGGATGTTGCAAGAGAAAAAGCACTAAAACCCCCCCAAAAAAAATTCCTTTCAATTGCAATTTTGCTTAATAGGCAGACAAATTTCAAGCACTTTCAAGTTACTGTATGTGGTGTTTGGGGAAAGGCCAGGCTAAATGAGTTTACACTGGAGTTTTTCCAATTTCTAGAACGACTCTGAGTCATTCTAGACATTTGCCACAAAAAAACCACAGCAGATGGCTTGGTAAAATGTTGGTCATCCACAGAGTTGGCCCCTAGAGATGCTTTTCTTGAAGAGGGAGGGAGGGAGAAAGCAGATAAAGCTGGACCTGAATGAAGACTTCACCATGCAGACTACGGTGGCTTATATCTATGTCTATTTATTTAAGCTGTATATGAGGACCTGAGTGAAGACTTCACCATGCAGACTAGGATGGCTTATATCTATGTCTATTTATTTAAGCTGTATATGAGGACCTGAGTGAAGACTTCATAGTGGGGGGGGAGAGAGAGAGAGATAGACCTGAGTAAGACTTCACAATGCAAAGTGCTGGGGCTTATAGCTATGCCTATCTCTTTTAAGCTGTGAGGACCTGAGGGAAGACCTCATTCTGCAGCAGAAATTTCTATGCATATACCAATTAGATAGAAAGATAGATAGATAGATAGATAGATAGATAGATAGATAGATAGGTAGAGGGGAGGGCAGACAGAGACACAGAGAAACAGAGACAAATGGCTGTCCAGTCTCCTCTTGAAAGCCTCCAGTGATGGAGCACTCACAACTCCTGAAGGCAAGCCGATCCACTGATTAATTGTTCTCGTTGTCAGGAAAAACTCTCCTCCATTCTAGCTGGTTCTCTCTGTGATTCGTTTCTACCCATTACTTCTTGTCCTGCCCTCATTTGCTTCGGAGAATAGGTTGACGTCTTGCAAACTCTATGAGTTATTGATGGCTTCACTTATTTCCAGGAGCAACTTCCATGCGTTCACTTTCTGTGGAGGCTTTGAGGGTTGTTGATTTGTTGTGTTAAGTTACTGAACTCCAGCTGCTGTTCCTTAGTGACAGATCTTCTGTCTGACTCCTAGGGGACCTCGATGTGAGCTGGTATTCTAGAATATTCTGAGCATGCCAATGGTCCGCCATCTGGGTCTGCAGATGAGAACAATTAATCGGTGGAATGGAAGTTGCCTCCAGAAGTTGTGGGTGCTCCATTGTTGGAGCTTTTCAAGAAGAGACTGGACAGCCATTTGTCGGAAATGTTATAGGGTCCAGGAGACCTCCAAAGGACCCTCCCAACTCTGTTCTATAACTCTGTTATTAATGTAACCTTACCATAAATTTAGAGTGTTTTGTTTTTTTTAATTTGGACTATCTTGCGAGGTTGACAACAATCTTGCAAGCCTGAAGGTATCTTTCTCCACCCACCCACCCATCACTTTTACAGTCCAGGAAATTAGGGAGGGTCCCTTTGGGGATGTTTTCTGTGCCCCTTTTCCTTCTGCTCCCTCTTATCTGACCGCTGTCTACTCTGTGGCTCTTCCTCCTGTCCCCCAAGATCATTCTCACAGACACAGCCACTCAGTGGTGAAATCCAATTTTTTTTACTACCAGTTCTGTGGGCATGACTTGATGGGCGTGGTGTGGCTTGGTGGGGTGGCATGGGAAGGATACTGCAAAATCCCCATTCCCTCCCCACTCCTGGGAGAAGGATACTGCAAAATCTCCATTCCCACCCCACTCTGGGGCCAGCCAGAAGTGGTATTTGCTGGTTTTCCAAACTGCTCAAAATTTCCGCTACCAGTTCTCCAGAACCTGTCAGAACCTGCTGGATTTCACCCCTGCAGCCACTCCAACAAGAAGTACCTCCTGCTTCATCTTCCAACAATAACTAAAAATAGCTGGCAGAATGAGTCGCTGCTCTGCCGGTCTATGCCACCAACTTTTAAAACCATGGAGTGGTTCTTACGGATTTTCTGCATTTTACGCAACAATACCATTGGGAAATAAGATCGCACCAGTTCCCTGGGTGGCACTTTCCAGATGTGAAGTGCCAGTTCTGGGAGATCTAACCCAATGCATCTGGAGGGCATAGGGTTGGGGAAGTGGCAATTAACATTGTCTCTTTTTTTCCCCTTCCTATTAGAAATGGCTGGTTTGGGCCATAATTTTGCCAAGCGCTCCCTCTCCTGGTGAAATGTTAGAAGTGCCTCTAGTCAAGAACATCTGGTTTTGATCTCAAAGGTGCTTTTTCAAAAGGCAACTGGAGGGTTGTTGTTGTTGTTTTTTCCCTTGAAGAAGGAGAAGAAAAACGTTTCGCTTCTCATCCAAGAGTTGTGATGGCGGGCGATGGAAGGATAGCTACTGACAGTCGAGACTGGACTTCTCAACTGTCTCAAACAGTTTCAACACTTCCTTTTGAAAAAGACTTGGTGTCCTGACAGTGAGAACTATTAACCAGTGGGACATCTTGCCTCCACAAGTTGTGGGTGCTCCATCACTGGAGCTTTTCAAGAAGAGATTGGACAGCTGTTTGTCTGGAATGGCATAGGATCTCCTGCTCCAGCAGGGGGTTGGACTAGAAGACCTCCAAGGTCCCTCCCAACTCTCTTCTTAGTCCTGTGCATAGAATGGAGGACATTCCAGCCTGGACTGACAGCCAGGACAACAGACTCTGTCCGTGACCATTTCCCCCAAACCTGAATGGATCTGAAAGCGGATTCTTTATTCCCAACTGAGAATTTTTTTTTTAAAAAAAAAGACCAGCGGATTCTGAGCCTAACATGAAGTTTTTGTCCTGTCTGCTTTCCCATCATCCTCTCCTCTCAGGACAAAAAAGCCATCGTAATTCATCACTCATGGAGATCCGAGTTATTCTACTCTTGATTAAATTAGTAAATGCAATCAGGATCTGAAGCGATTTAATTGAGAGAATTTATGGGAACCTGACAGTTTTATGCATGTTTGATGAAGTATTATAAGCTGGTTTTTTTTATTTTGCATAATTTAACTTTAAATTCTGTGCAGGAGGAGCCCCCCCCCCCAAATCACCTATTCATGACCTAAATAAACTCTTTTAAGATGCATGTATCTATAATTTATTTCAAGCTCAGTATCTGTCACAGGTTGGTCCGGGAGTTCCCTCCTTTCCATTCTTGTTCTTTTGCCAAAGTGACAAATACGTTGAAAGTAATATTTGCTGCTCTTCTCGCTCATAGTATAAATCCTTGGCAATGCACGCATTTTATTTAAAGTTTTGAGAAGTCATCGTTTATAGGGGTGGAAGGCAGCGTCAAATAAATGCACGCAGACCGTCCAAGGCACAATATTCTCTGCCCGTTGCCAGTAAAACCCCATCAACACTACCCTTGTTCAATCAACAGGAAGAGAAGCTGCAGCAGCATTAGGGAAATTGCTACCATGCTGGGACAAAAGACTGAATGCATCTCACTTTCCCTGCAGCTGAATTTATAACGAAAGGATGATGAAAGATGCCAAGGCGGCGTTTGATCTTTATTTTATCCATAATCTCCCGTTTCTGGCATGGTGCTTGGCCAGAGCCTGATGTGGGGCGAAGGGAGCCACTGGCTGGATGTTTTGGACTGCAGTGCCCATCCTCCACTGGCCCACCGGGCCCAGCAAAGGCACGCCTCTTCCTTTCAGGCTTTGTGGAGACGTTTGGTTCAAATGGGCATCACTGGTTTTTCTCCCAAGACCCCAAACTGAGTGGGATGATGCAACCCCAAAGAAACTGGACTCCCGCTCCCATCATTCTTCACTAACTGCTGGATGATGGGAGGGGGAGTCCAACACTTTTGCAGAAAACCAGGCTAAGGATGATGGGCCACATGTTGCCTTCCAATGTGCCACACTCCCATTCCCATCATCCCCGATCACCATGCTGGTGGAGGATGGGCAAGGGAAATCCAGCCAGAGCCAGGTGTTAACTGGACTCCCTCTCCCATCCTCCCCAATCGGGTGGGCCAATGCCGGTGGGTGATGGGAGGGAGAGTCCAACCCAGCTCCCGCTCTCCCCCATCAGAGGGTCCACCGCACAGATGGGAACTGGAGTCCATAGAGTGTCTTCAAACTTGGCCGCTTGAAGACTTGTGGACTTCAACTCCCAGGATTCCCCAGCCAGCATAGCTGGCTGGGGAATCCTGGGAGTTGAAGTCCACAAGTCTTCAAGCGGCCAAGTTTGAAGACTTCTGCCATAGAGCAAATAAGAGCCCCGCCCGCGCCTGCGCGCCCGTTGCTAGGCGATGGCTTCCCGGCGCGCTCTCCCCCGGGGAAGCGGCGCCTGCTGATGACGCCATCGCCGCGCGCGGGCCCTTCCGCCGCCGGCCTGAAGGAAGGGGAGTCGCCGCGCCGCCGCCGCCCGAGCCCGGCCTCCCTCCGCCGCCATGGCCCGCAGACGCCTCCGCCGACGCCCGGTGAGTCCTCCGACGGCCCCCTTCCCCAGCGCCGGCCCGCACGACAGCCCCGCGAGGTAGGCCGGGCCCAGCAGGTGGTGCTCCCCCCACCCCCTCGGGCGCGGGCTGGCGGGACTGCAGGTCCCATCCTCCCCCGCCGCGTCTCTTTGGGGGGGAACTCCCCCTCCTCCCCTAGGGCTGACCCCGAGCCCGGTAAGCGGAGCGGGAGAGCCTGGCCGGGTCCAAGCTGGGCCCGAGAGCATTTGGGGGGGGGGGCCCGGGGGGGGGGGGGGGGGGGGGCCCCCTCTTGGGGGGGGGGGGGGGGGCCCCCCCCCCCCGCGGGGCAAACATCCCAGCCGGAGCCTGGGTGCGAATCCTGCCCCGCGCGGGGGTGGAGTGGGGGGTGGCTGCCCTCTTTGCAGCCAGACTCTGCAAGTTGCCCCTCCGTGTCAGAGAGTGAAATAATAATATTTACTAATAATGCCATCCTCATATCCGAGGGGAATCCTCATGGGGGCCCTTTGGGTGAAAGCACCAGGCTGGGAGTTCTAGTCCTACCTTAGTTTGGGAGGCTTTGATCCTTAGCCTTTGCAGGGTAGTTGTTGTTGTGTGGGGGGAGGGGGAAATAGGAGGAGGAGGAGGAGGAGGAAGGAGTACAGTGTCAACAGGTATTCGCTGCCCAGGGTTGTTTGTTGTAATAATAAAACACAGGATCTTAAGTTTAAAAAAAAAATAATGCGATTGTATCTAAGCCACACTAAGATATCGGGATGCCGTTCAAAGGCAGGTGAGAACTATTGGTGGAACTGCATTAAAGGGCTGAAATGACCTTGGGAGAGAGGAGAAAGAGCCGCCTGGCTCAGAGAAGTACCATGCGAAAGGGCCCTATAGCCCACCAAAGGAACGGGAGGGGAGGAAACATCTCAGAAGAGAGAGACTCTCCCTAGTTTTTGGAAAAGCAAAATGGGAGAGGAAAGGAGAGGAGAAGATACTTTAAAATAAAGTGTTTTTAGCACTCGTATTTGTTGAGTTTCATGCCTGGACTACCTCGCAGGGCTGACAGTGGGCAGGTGCAGAACCTGCTAGAAAGGAAGAGGCCATCCTCCCCTCCCCTCCCCCTTCACTCCCATCTCTTCCTTCGCATTAAATCTGACACGTCTTTTTCTGCGCCTGAATGATCCTCCCTCCCAACTGCCTAGGTGACACAATTCATCCACTTTCTGACATTTTCTTTTCCCAAACTTTTGCCGGTCCTTTGGAACTCCCCGCCTATCATGCTCCTGTCGGTTTCTGAATCCGAAGGGGAAGAGGAACGGCTGACAGAGAGCGAGAGAGTGGATCCGTTGGCTGTGGAAAAAACTGGGGAAGAGCAAAGTCGGGCTGGGCAGAGCAGGGGAGAGGTAGAACAAGGAAAGGGGGGGGGGTTCAGATGAAGAGCAAGGCCCACCCCCTCCTCATCCTAGTCAGCGCAGGGAGGAACGGAGAAGAGAGCAACATGGGTTGCGTGGTTTAAAAGGAGAGGCAAATGGGAGGGGCATTTGTCAGGAACAAACGCTGAGTTTATCTGGTGTTTCTTGGGATCCTGGCATCCTCCCAACTGGTTTGATTTATTGCCGTGCTACTTTACTGGTGGAATTCCTTATTTTGCTTGCCCTGCCGGATTAATTACCTTGCCTTGCCTTTGGATTTTTTGTTAGAAGCTTTCTGCTTACAACGTTTGCCAGCCAAAGGGACATTGGGGGCACAGTTGGTGATAATAAAGGGACTCATATCAGTTCTCTGGCTGTGTTGCCTTTGTGTTATGTCCTGGGTGACTTAGTCTGAGAGGCTGAATGAGTACCTTCCTTGTGCTTCCGTCTTTCTTTTCCTGACTTTAAAGAATTCTGAAACCTCTGGTCTTATAATTGATTTCCCTCCAGCCCTTTGCTCTCGACCGATGGCCTCCAAACTTGACAACTTCAAACATGGCTGGCCGAGGAGTTCTGGGAGTTGAAGTCTACAAGTTGTCAAGTTTGGGCTAGACTTTTGAGCCAATGCAACAGTGGCGACAGTGACATATCTGTAGCAGTTGTGACCTTCCAAATCCCAGTAAAGGGATTAATCCACATTGGTTTGCTGGTGGATCCAGTACCTGGCAGCCTCGCGGAGAGTACCGGGTGCGCGTCTTCAGCCGGCTGTCCTTCTCTCCCTTTTCCTCAACCTAGCTCTCCTTCTCTTCCTTCCTGCAGGCAGCTTCCGTCTCAGCACGTCCAGGCCGTGTTCACCCTCCTGGCTCGCTGGCCTCCCCTCCCATCTTCACGGAAGCGGTCGGGGCCGCCCCCTGCCAGCCTGGCTCTCCAGTCCTGTAAAAACCCGGGTTGCCCGATGCCTGTCATTCCTATCCCACGGCGGGTTCGGTCTTTCCACGGGCCCCACACGACATGCCTGCATTCGGCCTGCGGGCCTGTCCGGACCGCCCCCCTGGTGCGCACCAAGTACAACAACTTTGATATCTACCTGAAATCCCGCTGGATGTACGGGGTGATCCGTTTCCTGCTGTACTTCAGCTGCAGCCTGTTCACCTCCGTCCTCTGGGTGGCGCTGGCGGTCTTGTTTTGCATCCAGTACCTCGGCATCCGGTTCTTCCTCCGCTTCCAATACAAACTCTCTATTACCCTGCTGCTGATGGGCAGGCGGCGGGTGGACTTTAGCCTGGTCAACGAGTTGCTCATCTATGCCATTCATGTCACCATGCTGCTGGTGGGCGGGCTAGGCTGGTGCTTCATGGTTTTTGTCGATATGTAAATAAAGGTCAGTTGGGAGGGGGGGAGCCAGAGCCAGGGTGACTCTTGGCCTGGGGGTCAGATCCATCTCTGATCCTTCCTCCACCCTCCTCCTGTAATCAATCTCTCTCTCTCTCCCCTCTGTGGCTCCAGGGTCACTTGGCTTATGATAAAGGCAGGTTAGAGAGAAAGCAGGGTTGGCTCTGATCGCCTTGTAAAAGTCAGAGAAGGCCGATGCTTCTCAGGAAGACTGGCACCAGATGTTGCAGTTGGCTCCCTCCCCCCGGAGAACCGTTGGCTGGCCCTTGCCTCTTCTCTGTGGATCCTGCATCGTTTCCTTTCCCTTCTGCTATTCGGTCTATGGAAGTAATCTCTCGAGTTCTCTCGTTGGGTCGATCGTCTCTGTTCGTTTAATATCTGGAATATTTTTGTTCATCCAATGTGTTTTTAGAAATATCTCTCCTCCTTTCCCCCCCCCCCCCCCAAAAAAGCCTAGTAATAATTTTAACTTGTTCTTCAGTAGCCTTGTTTCATTTCGCAGTTGCTGGCGAGCAGCCTCTAAGTTTACCGTTCGAAGGAGACCTGGGTGTTGCTGCCAGGCTCATGTGTAGTCTTGTACAGTAAGGGCTCAGCTGCCTTTACGTCCCCTTACGTGCCCTTCAGGTTGAAGATTGTGGGCTGTTTTAATATGGGAGAGAGATGATCGGGCTGTGAGTTAGAATCTCCCAGGTTCAGTTCCTGTTTCTGCCCGGAATTTAATAACTGGATTCGCACAACTCACTTATCCTTCGGCCTGGGTTAATAAAGCAGGGTGAGTTGGGATCATAGCACCTGCTGCGTGTGCCAACAAACCGTATTGTGTCTTAACAACATGCGGAAGCAACAACTGAGGCTGAATGACGGATGGTAACCTTTTGAGCCTAACTGAGTGCATTGAGCAAACACAGCCTTCACATGGACTTTTAGTAATCTATCATTCCTTGCTTTCAACCCATCCGCAGTATCCCTCAGATTGTGGCCTGTATCACGGAGCCATGGGGGTCAAAATAAGGACAACGTATGGGTTGCCCTTAGGACATTCCAGTATGCCCTCTTCGGCATCCATGTTGTGGCAGGAAATCATGTTGCATGCACATAGCCTCTTGTGCATATGAGCACACGCATATGAGCCATGGTGCTGCTGTCCAGCAGAGAAACGCCTCTCCCCCAGGGGCTGGTGAGAACCGCTAAGAAAAGGGTATCTTTCTTTCCTTCTCCTTGAAAACCACTCCATAGAGCAGTGGTTCTCAACCGAGGCAGCTTGAAGATGTGTGGACTTCGACTCCCAGAATTCCTAGCCCGCATGTTGTGGACTTCACCTGCCAGAGGTGAAGTTAGGAAATATGAATGTGTATGATTATGTCCTCCCTTTTTACGACCCTTTAATCCCTTAATTCGGGGTAAGAGTCAGGGCAACTGGATGGAGCTGAGGGTTTACTGGATGGATGCCCTTCCTGACGCCTATGGGGGAGTTCACAGCAGATGTTTTTTCTTTGCGCCCAGACAGAAAATCTGCTGCTACCAAGGATTGAACCCCCAACCTTCCCAGTGAGAAGCAAGGGTCTTCACCACTAAACCACCACACCGCACATCCATCCATCCATCCATCCATCCATCCATCCATCCATCCTTCCTTCCTTCCTTCCTTCCTTCCTTCCTTCCTTCCTTCCTTCCTTCCTTCCTTCCTTCCTTCCCCCCTCCCTCCCTCCCTCTACATCTATTCTTCTATACTTCTATCTATCTGGACACAAACTTCCAGAATTCCCCAGCCAGTATGTGTGGACTTCAATTCTCATTGATGGTCATGCTGTCTGTGGAATTCTGCGAGTGGAAGTTCTCACTCTTGGAAATTCTCAAGATTGGGAAAACTTTGCCCTTAAAATCACAGGAGGGAGAGACTGAACGGGCTCTGACTACCATGCAATCTTTTCTCAACTCTTGCCCCCCACCTCCGCTACTCCTGGAAGGGGGGAGAGTGGCCAAATGCAACAGCTTCCTCTTCCTGTCTCTGCATTGCCCTTGAAGGGTTCTCCCCACTCGCTCTCCCTCATTCAGCCCTCCTGGCTGAGCTCAACGTCTCTTCCTTTGCCCCAAAGCCCAGCTCACCTGCCTACAGATTTGCTCTGCTTAGTGTAAGGCTGGGTTTCCCCTGCTGCAATTAAAGGAAGCTCCGCAGGGCCGCTCCATGCAGAGGTGGCCCTGGAAGAGGCGGCTTCAGCCTCTGCCTGCCAAGCTGTGACATTGAGCCTCCCAGGTCTGCATCACGCAGCACCAGCCGTGCCGCTATGCAGCAACCCCGTTTCTGCTGGGTGCAATCACAGGTTCTGCCTGGTATGCTGAACAAAGGCTGCGTGTGGGACCTGGCTCCCTGTTCCCGAGCGAGGGGAGGGGGGATCTCGAGGCTGTCCTCCGCCTGTCTTGTTCTCTGAAAGGAATTGGGGGTCCGGAGGGGAGGGGGAGGCAGGCAGGGCAGCTGAGCCGCTGCCTGGGTTTGGCAGTGTGGAGTAGGCTGTGGGTGAGAATCACCTTCCTGAAGCTAAGGCCAGAGGAAGGCGGGGAGGGAAATAAACAGGAAGAAGGGAAAGGAAAGGAAAGAAAGTAAATGGATGAAAAAGGAAGGGAAAGAGGAAGGGAAGGAAGTAAACGGGTAGGAAAGGAAAGGAAGATGACAGATAAGGAAGAGTGGGAGAGAGAGAAGGGGAAAAAAGGAAGATGAGAGAGGGAAGGGGTTGCAGCTTCCATTGCTAACCGAGTGGTCATTAAGCGAGCTGCATCTGAGTTTACAATGCTTTTGCTGGGGTCATGCATTCATTAAGCAAATCCAGTTTCTCCTGTCGAAGCTGGTTGCAACATTTGCAAATGAAAGAATCCTGTGCAGTTTGGAAGCTGGCACCATTCCTAGGTTAGCCTAATGGCATTTGCTGCTTAAATTCATCCTGAAGCAACTGCAGCTAAATTGACAGGCTCAATCCTTGAGTTCTTTATTTGGAATCACAGTGACAAGCCCAGAAACGCAAACACATTTTTGCCGTGTTTCCATCAGCCAAGCAAGACCCGTCGCTGATGGGCAGGATCGCAGTGGGAAAAAAAAAGAATTGATTTATTTATGGTTGATTGGATTTCTATGGCCACCCGTCTCCCCATTGAGTGACTCTGGGCAGCTCACCACAAAATCAAGGTGTTTTTTGCTGTAGGTGATAATCCGTGGACACGTTTTCACTCTCTTGATTTCCTAAAATGGCCATGCGGCTTAGTAGAGTCGAGTCGAGTAGATGGAAGGGACCCTGGAGGTCTTCTAGTCCAACCCCCTGCTCAAGCAGGAAACCCTATACTATTCCAGACCAATGGTTGTCCAATCTCTGAGGCAGCACCCACAATTTCCATTCCACCAATTAATTGTCCTCACTGTTGGGAAATTTCTCCTCGATTCTCTCTTTGGTTTCCATCCATTGTTTCGTAGTAGCTGCAGTTTGGGGTCATTCAGGTGACTCTGGAATCTCCCCGTTTTAATACCACAACTTTCCATTGGCCAAACAGCCAAGCGTTCTCTTTATCCAAGAGCGCGTCTTTTGCACGCCTCGTGGGCCAGTGCGGTTATATCGGGGTGCCAATTTGGGATGATACAGATCAGGAACCTGCCCACCCTTAAGGCCGGGCACTTGAGGTCATTTGAGGGAGAAGAGGCTGGCATCCCTTGCAAGCCAAGGGCAGAAAATGGCACCGGATAGGAGTGGGTCCTTTCCTTTGGATTCCAGCCGACTGCGGTCATAGCAGAGTTTGTCTTTCTTCCCAGCTCCTCGTCCCTCCCCTCCCCTCCCCTCCTGTGCTCAAGCTGCACCATAATTCATGTTAATGCTGATAGCCACAGTGCAGTGATATCCAAGAACCTTTGAAAATAAGGGGAGGGGGTGGGAGGGATTGCCGTGTCCCTTTCTCTCTGCACGCCTCCGACACTGGAGCTGCAAAACCGCCTGAGGAGGTTCAGTCGTCCTCCTCTGCAAAAGTGCGTCTCCCAGCCTGTTTCCCCCCCCCACTTTAATTCCTTTTTTTTTTTTTTATTCTTTTTCTGAGCAGTGTCCAGTTCCTCCTTCATCCCCCCTGAGAAAGCCAGCAAAAGGATGACTTGGAAGGCTCTCGCTGGTGCAGAAGGCAGTGTTCTCTCCTCCCCCCCTCTGTCTCCCCATGGCTTTTGGGGGCTGGGGGGTGGACGCTGATCCATGCAGCCCCAGGCACGGGGCTTTGCTGCTGTTTGCCGAGGGGGCAGGACCCAGACTCGGCGGCCCAAGTAGTCCTTCTGTTTGAGTGACCTTGGTGATCTCCCGTCCCCAGAGCACGTGATCCGTGGGACCAAGGAGGGAGCTGGCACCGGTTCTGCCAGGCGTGTTTGTTCAGCATTTGCTGCATCTTGTGGCCAAGGAGGCTGGGAGAGGGCTGTTTAGCTGCCTGGAGCAGGGCCAGAGGTTGGGGGTGGGTGGGTGATGCAGCTCTGTGAGGCTCTTTGTTCCTGGCCCAGTTTACGGTGCCCGTTCCTGGAAGCTGGACTTCAAGCGAGGTTGCATGCGAAAGCCATTATCTCCTGCAGACACAGGGCAGGTGATGGGATTTTGTTATCAGTCTGGACACCGAATCGTCTCTTCCACCACCACCCCCGGCACCTCTCCAGTCTTCAGCCCCGAAGGCCTATAATTTTCCACTCTTCTTCTGCCTTGCACTTTTTAAATAAATGTTTATCTGGACGGTTGGTTGCCAAGGGAAGCCGAGGCGGCGGTAAAACCTTGTGCTCTTTTCATTCTGACTGCACCGAGTTAACGATGCCCGTTTTGTTTCCTTGGCATTTTATCTTCTTCCTGGGATCTCACTAAAGCCTGGGCCATTTCGGGCCAGTTTTTTTTTTCTCCCTCTAGGAGAGAGAAGGTTGGTTCTACCAGAAGAGGTTTAGCTGCCCCCTCCCCCACCCTTTTTTTTTTTAAAAAAAAAAATAGAATTTAACTCGTAGACCAGGAATCATGAAGCATTTTTGGGCACGGATTTGCAAGAACGGTTTCAAAATCCTTGCGGTTTTTTGGCGTTTTGGAATAGTAAACCATCCTTTTGTAGTTCGGTCCTGTTGAAAAAGAGATTTGGGGTGGAGAGTCTGTGGAGAGACTTACCTGCAGCTTCCCAGGGCTTCACATGTGCTGAGCTGCCTTTTATTCTGCTGAGTTATTCAGGTTTTTAGGCTTTTTATTTTTTTTTTTAAGTTAAGGAGTTTATGGATTTGTCAAAAGTTTTGAGGAAAATGTCCACGACCATAATAGAGAACATTTGTTGTTAAAGCGGTGCAATCCTTAAGTGAGGCATAAGGCTAGAAAGCTGGAGAGGTGAGTTCAAGTCCTGCCTTGGCCGTGAAAGCCTCTGGGCGACTTTGGCCCAATCACCAGGAGACAAGGGAGTTCTAGTTCCACATTAGCCATGAAAACCCAGTGGGTG